CTGGGTATTTTAAAGACTAGTTATTTAACTCCCTAGAAATTCTGTCACAAGAGGAAGATTAAAGGTTCCACACACACTATTGGATATCCACTATGAGGATATCCAATAGGGTTTTCTTGGAATTTTTTCTCCAGCTTCTGAAGTCAAACATCTAAACAGGAAAGTAGTAATGATGGCCAGAAATTACCACCGTTTGGAGGCAAAACAGAGACTTGCTGAAAATCCTCACCAAACTATTTGGAATTTGCCAACACTAAGTGCTGCCTAGGAGAAAATAAAACCCCATGCATTTTAACTGGACATTCTTCACCTTCAGCCTATTACTTTAAGCAAACAGATAGCCTTCCTACCAATGTAAGTATGGAGCAATATGGACACTCGCCCTTCTGCAATCCTGCTGCTGTCAGCTCCTGTCAGAGGGACAGCCTGAAGCCATGGAAGAACCATGCAGATGGTCACAAACCAGGCCCCTGGCCTACTACTGACACAGCTCTTCCAGAAACACCACTGTGAAAAGCTAACACTGGGATGAGGCTCAGACCGCCTCCTCCATGACCCTCTCTAGGCAGGCTGGAGCAGTCTAGAGATGACAGTCCCTCCAATATCCATCCTTCTTCTGGGTACTTCTCCCTCTTCTCCCCATGCCACCACCTCTGGCTGATTTGAGCACTTGTTGCAACCTTTCTCAAATGCAGGTTGCACGTTCTCTGGGGCAACGCCATGCCACATTTGTCCATCGTCTGAAAAATCTGCAGCACAGAGATCTTTGACTTGGGATACCAGCTGCTAGGGGCTATAAATAATCTGTAATTAAAATAAAAGTGAAGCTGTACCACAGGATTGTTGTGCCTCCAAGTTTTCTCCAGACTACTCTCAGGAGACATAGAAGAGCTATCAGAGATAAAACACCAAATCTCAGCCTACTAGGTTTACACAGAGACCCACAAAAATATGTGTTTGTATTGTTCTGACCTCCAGATCTTTTTTTTTCCTTCACATTTTCTTAACCTTTAAAAGGCACATAAGATAAACAGAGGAGAAGCTAGGCAGACAACATCCTCGAAGAGATGTAGGAATATAATCAAGCCCTCAGACACACGCACACAAACACCATAATTTATCTCTTCCTCCTCCTGTTTGATATTATCCTCTGTTCTAGTATCATAATCTGTTGCTATGGGAACAGCTATGATGTCACTACAAGAGGTTTATGGATGCCTTGAACAGGAAGGAAAGGTACATGTTGATGGGAGAGAAAAAAAACCGCACCTACAAACAGCTGCTAAGCAGGAGACGTTCCAGGAACAGCAAGTGTTAACAGGGAAAAGATAAATACATCAACAGTGCTGGAGTCGTTGCAGACAAAAGCAGAATATAAACCCTGTTTTAAAAATAAAGAATGCTTACAAATTTTGCCTACAAGTAAAAATATTCTGGGAAAGCTAAAGGACCTTCCTGAAAAAAACAAACTTTCTTTGAAACGTTCTGCAAGTTTTCTGAGACTGAATGTTCTCTGAGTCTCGCTGCTAGAGTCCAAGTCTCCATCAAACCACTCCATCATCTGCTGTAACATTCCCTTCAGAAGTGTAACACCCCACCAAGGCAGCTATTAGGTAGGGAGCTTGCTGGCTATCCACCATCCTGTATGCCTTTACGATCTGTAACTAGGAAAAAACCTCATGTCTTCAAGCAAAAATAAATAGAACCATAGAATCACTTAGGTTGAAAATGACCTCTAAGATCAATGAGTCCAACCACTAACCAAACACTGCCAAGCGCACAACCAACCATGCCCCTAAGCACCACAACTATACATCTTTTAAACATGTCCATGGTGACTCCACCACTTCCCTAGGCACCCTGTTTCAGTGCTTGACAATACCTTCCATTAGGAAATTTTTCATAATATCCAATCTACACCTTTCCTGATGCAACCTGAGGCCATTTCCTTTTGTCCTATTGCTTGTTACCTGTGAAAAGAGGCCAACCTCCACCTCACTACAACCTCCTTTCAGGTAGTTATAGAGAGTGATGAGGTCTCTCCTGAGCCTCCTATTCTCCAAGCTAAACAACCTCAGGTCCCTCAGCTGCTCTTTATAAGACCTGTGCATTACATCCTTCAGCAGCTCCATCGCCCTTCTTTGGACACGCACTGGCATCTCAGTGTCTTTCCTGTAGTGCTCCTATGCCTTTAAGATTTGTTTCTTGAAGAATGTCCACCATTCCTGGACTCTTTTGCCCTCAGGACTGTGTCCCAATGGACTCTGTTGACCAGCCTTCTAAACAGGCCAGTGTCTACCCTACGGAAGTCCAAGGCAGCCATTCTGCTGAGCCCCCTCCTTACTTCTCCAAAAACTGAAAACCAATCACTGTGCCCAAAACAGCCTCCGACCACCACATCACCCACAAGTCCTTCTCTGTTCACATAAAACAGGTCCAGCAGGGCGCCTTCCTTTGCTGGCTCACTCACCAGCTGTGTCAGGAAGTTATCTTCCACCCATTCCAGGAACCTCCTAGACTGTTTCCTCTCTGCTGTTTCCTCTCTGTGCAGAGACACACTGAATCTACTGGATCACATCCAGTAGCAAATAAACACCCTGACTCCAAACTATAAGAAGAAAGGAGCTTTTCTTGCTCTCTTCACCCAAGAGAAAAACCAAAATCTTACAGACTCACTGCCAAACACACTGACATACCCAACCTGCTGCTAGAGAGAATAGTATGTTGAGCCTCATGCTTGAAACATGCCCAGCCTTTGGGCCATGCACATCCGTGTGCAGGATGATGCACATGTGGTTCTCACCCATAAGCACAGGTGTTGATGACTGTGCCTCCATGCTCGTACCTGTTTTGGTCACCTGGACTGATGGTAAGAGTAGAGCAGACATGACAATGGAGAGGGTGGGGCAGTCACACATGCCCTTAAAGGCATCATGTGCAGGCTAAGGGAAAATTCAGTATGCATCTCCTGATGGGGAGGAGGAGGGAGGATGGCAGATCAAATTCATCCGGCATAGACACCGCTGTCATGGGAAGGGCAATGGCGGCGAGGGAGGAAACCACAAGGATCTCAGATCAATGGAAAGTGCTGGTGTTTCAGATAACCTCTGTCCCATCAGAATTTCTTGAGTGTGGTGAGCAGGATCAGAGATCTTAAGGGAATGCCACAGCATCAGTTTTGCCTCTAGTCTCAGCTCCAGACGGGGGGAATCCCCAGGCAGACACTCTGTTTTGCCTGTACTAAGATACAGGTGGCATTTCCTGTCCTTGCTCACTTTCCTGTCCAAAGACGTTAGAAACAACTGCAGAGAAAAAACCTGGGAGAGACTGAAGTCAGTAAGGGCAGTTGCAAAAACAGTCCAAGATGGGATCTTCAGCATTTCACTCAATTTTCTGTTCCTGCCAGATTTGGCTGTGACAGCCCCAGCCCCCGTACTTCTCAGGGATCACTTCTCTCTCCTGTTACAGTCACTTACTCTCACCTTTCTTTCCCACCTCTCTCTCTCATCCTCTTCTCTCTTGTTCCTAACCTACTGCCTTACTCCATCTCAATCTTCAGCCCACCCCTTTCTTCCCTGAAGGAACCCCTGTCAGAAATGTTCAGGAAAACCCACACATTGTGATTTCCTCTCCCCAAAGAGCTCAGCCAATTCCTACGATCCATGCTCCTGGGTCTTCACTGCAAGAAATGCAAACCCTTTGGGGTGGGAACTATCTGCCCCTTCATGTCAATACCATGCCTTGTGCAGTAAGGTCCTGTTTTTGTTTGGCACTGGCACCACTACAGCAAATACAACTTTTATTAGGAATACTTCAAAAGCACGAGAGTAAAAGAATAGGAGGTGTAAAACAATGCAAAGTGGTTTGTGTGTTTTCCAGTTTCTTTTATATTTGTGGCTAAGGTTCTGTTTCTATTTTTTATGAAACAATCTCTTCTGTGTTTTCTATTTGAGACAAGAGTGGAAAACAAAGCTGATCTTGGTGAAGAAACAGAGACTGTGCTTTTTAAATTGGCAGGTGACAGCAAGCAGGATTGCAAAATAAGAATTCAAAACAATCCTGACAAATTGAAGGGTACAGGATGAAATTCAAATGGGACAGATACGAAAATCATACACTTAGGTAGGAAAGCCTAGCTCCATACACAGAGAATAGAAAACGGCTCATGAGGCATCAGACCTCTTGGACAGCATCTCGTAGCCACGACACACCACGAGCTGCACACAGATGAACAATGTCATGGTACAAAAGTTAAACCAAACAGGAGCACTGCCTGTAGGAGATGGAAGGAATGCTTCTGCTCTACTTGGTCAGCACAGGATCCAACATACAGCACTGTGCTCTAGCAATGCCATTGAAAGGAGAGGTGGACTAGCTGAAGGGAGCACAGAGAAACGGGAGGATGGTCAGAGCTGAAGGGAACAGGACACAGGAGAAAGAGCTGAAGAATGTGTTTGAGATATGATTCAGCCGAAGGAATACAAAGTCAAGGACAGACATGACAAAGACAAAGGAATAGTTTTCCCACACCCACTGTTAAAAGGACGAGGAATCAGAGCAAGCAAAGCAGAGCAGTTAATGAGGAGGTAAAATCTTTTCAGTGACAAAGCAAAGGGCAGTGATGACAGCCTGGGCAGGCTGTGCACCCCATACATGGGAAATACGCTGGACAAGCCTGTTAGGGAACATGCTGGATGGGCATTTAATATCCTGCTTTGAAACAGTTTTTGAAATCTTTCCTATGCCCACTTCCTACAATTTCAATGATATTGGTGAGAGGTAAGTTTCTCTGGCATTTCAGCATAACCCACAGACCAAGATAAACCTGTCAGTCTTTAGAACAGAAAGAGATGTCAGCCTGCAGGGTACTGCTGTGTAACACCATTGTTCCAGTTCTTGCTAATACCTTTAAGTATTAAAAGTCATAATGAACGGGGAAGACAGCTGCCTTTAGAGCTTCCCAAGTATCTCTGGTAAATACCACTGCCTTGAGGACTGACCTTTCCCACTTTTCAGGGTAGGAGCTGTCTGTGACTGCTCTTACTTCATCCCTCCAGAGACAGATGTCAGCACAGGCCCTGGAAGGTGAGCAGGACAGAGAACATGTAAATAGAGTGAGCTTCAGCTTCTCCAACCAAACGCCCCATTGAGGGGTAATGCTGAAGAAAACCAAGGGAACAAACTATGCCATCCTTCACCCAGCATGAAACTCCCTCTCCCTCCAGAACACAACACAGACAGGCTGATGCTGCCATGGGGAGACGGTGCTTCTCCTTGTGTAGCTCCGCAGGTTTCAGTGACTGTGGCTGTTGCTGACCTATATCAGAATCGAGCCCAGGAGCAGCTCAAGGGGTTCACATCTTGAGATTGCTTGCCTCCCACTGGCTATTCTGTACACATCCTGTAAATAAGCAGAAGACTGTTCCTTGGCATCATTCTGTCAGCAGCTTGATCAGACAGCCACTCTTTATATAGCACCTTGAACATACACACCATTGTATAAACATGCAGTATTACAGCTTATTGTTACTTCCATTCAATAAATAAATCCTAATGTTACAGCTTTTTAATTGTTTTAGTCCTGAATCTGGACTCTGGCAGGTATTTTGAAATATGGTGATGCCTTTGCCAGCCTACGGAGACAGGCTGTTCCTTCCCTCACGTACGTGGGCAGGTCTTAGAAGAATCGTTTTTACTATCAAAATTACCCAACTCAGAAGGCTACCTGAATTCAGGAGTGGTCCCAAAATACATGCACTTGTGCTTTCCTGAGGATGGACCTCGGTTGCTGATATGGCCAAGTGAGGGAGGACTCAGGTGTGCTCTGTGCTGTTAACAGGGGGGGAAGCATTAACATGCCTCTACTCTTCCTGCACGACAAACAGAAAAGTTGCTGAACTGAAATTATCACCTGGGTTTATTTTCAAAACAAAAGCTGAACTCTGTACTGCAAGGGGGAATAGTTTTAAAAGAGAAGGCCTCCCATTCAACACCTAGGTCTGTATTAGGGTATGTAAACAGCTGAAGAAACAACCTTTTCTCTAAATCGCGTTTAATTCTCACTTCTTGTTATCCACCAGTTATCCTTCTAAAAGCAAGAAAAAGCCCTCTCACATTTAGAGGGCAGAGATTTCCTAGTAAGGGTGAGGAAACAACCTCATTTTTATAAATGGACTGATTAAGCTATAGAGGCCATGAGTCAGAAAGGTACTTCAGCGTGTGGCCAGCTTTAAAGACATAAACAATCCTAATGAAGTCACCAGCACTGAATGTGAGCTTAAATTTAGGCACAGACCTTAAAATATCTTCTTAAACTGGGATCAGAGAGGAAAAGGGTGGAACTTTAAAAACAAAACCAAAACAGTCTCAGCCTACCTATCCACTACAGACACAGGGATGGGGACATCATAATAACTGTTAGCCCACCACTGAATGCCTTTGCAAACTCTCCTCACAAAGTCCAAAGGTAGTGCTGTCACAGTTGCCTCAATTCCCACAGCTGAAAGAACTTGTCTAATCTGCCTCATACTGGTGTCTCAGCCTGGTCCAAGCAGAAGGTGACCGCACTTCCTCTTGACCTCGCCATCTGGCAGCACTGCTCTAACACCGTCACCTGGGACCCACTTGCTGAGGTCCACAATCAGGACAGCGATTTACCTCCAAGCCCGGGTCACTAATTCTTCCATGATTTGACTTCCCAACTTTCTTCCTGACCAAATATCCACATACTTTTACACACCATTGCTGTAATGTGGTCAAAATTGAGCCTTATTCATTTAGCCACCCAAGTACGCTATCTACCTACGGATATGCAGGCTAACTTCTCAAGACTGACCTAAGTTCAAAAGCCTCACAAGCATCAGGGAGGTCTCTGGGCTGTCCCTCATCAGTTGAAGACCTACACTGAACAGGGTGCGTGCACACCCAGTTTGGGTGAAACCGCATCCAGTGGTTTCAAAGCACCATATGAAACTGGGCACTAAATAACAACCACTGAGTAAATGGTGAAACTGAGTGATGGGAAAACAAAAATTACTTCATTTTCTAGGCCCGCTGACATGTCTAGCTGAAGCCACCTGGGTTTTCCCCACCTGTTACAGCCATGAAGAGGAACACAATGCACAAAGTCCAAGGGCCGATGACTGTGGCGAGTAACTGTGTTTGCCTCTTTGTCTGCTCACCCTGGGCCCTGGGCCCAGCAGTGCTCTTTCCCCTTCTGAAAATAAAACAGCATTTTTCACCCATTACATCTCAAACTCACTTAATCGCTAGACACAGCAGCACGATAAGAACAATAATTTTAACTGGAGGGGACTTCCTGTTATCCTAGCTATAGCCATATCCTGAGCAAATAAAAACTTAGGCTTTTGGTCCCAGCATTGACACAGCTTAAGTTCTGATTATTATTTCATAAACAGGAAGTGCCTTTGAGTTATAATCTCTCTGCATGAACTTTGGGGTAAAGACCTTTACTCTGCCTCACTGGGGCCACCTCCCTGATGAGCGAGTTTTGTGTGTAATGAGCAAGTTTTATGTGCCTTAAGAGATCTGAGGATGCATTCAAAACCCAGCAGGGCTGGCCTGTTCCTGGCATTAAATGGGACCTGCTCCACGACCAGTCCAGGGTCAGATTTTCAAGCTTTCCCAGCCCCTCGTGTGACAAGCAGAGCATGCAGGCAGGTCCCTGCCTGCGCTGAGCTCCAGCAGCGGCACCGGTGGTGAGGTGCAATTTACAAATATTACCAGATTAATTCCATAAGCCACCCACATAGACAACTACCGATGCGGCTGCTAAAAATACACCGTGAGTTGCAAAAAAGTTGTCAAGAATAAGTAAGGAGCAAAGCAAAGAGGAACAAAACCAAAACAGAGGTAATCACTGTTTAGAAAATAAAGATTAATGCATATAAATACCTCTCTTTACCCAATTCTGAAGGATGCCAAGTACCAGACACCCAGGAAATCACTGGAGACAACCAGAGGCACCTGCCCTAGGCAAAAATCTACCCACAGCTCAGGCACTGCTGATGTCTAGCAGACCCCCTCTTAAAATTGGGTCTCCCCAGTCCACAGAGCCTGGCTCTATTCTCTGCACAGTAGAAAATGTCACAGGTGAGGACACAGGCGATGATTTTGCACAGCAAGGGCAACAATGCCCAGAGGAGGGTCCAGAGAACCAGATTCTCGCCTGCCTCAAGCCATTCATCTCCTCTGAAGCCAATACAGCCGCTCCTGACGAAGCTGCATCTCTGGTGCTCAGTGGGATGGCAGCCACTAGTTTGCCCCATCTCTGGAGCAGAGGCCATGCAGGATTACACCTGATGAGGTCCACTTCGAATCCCAACACATTTCCTCGTATGGCTCACAAACAAAACCAAAAAACAGGTCAAACATTGTTCGGTGGTGTTACTTCTGTTTTGTTCTACTTGTTATGTTTTTTACGTCCTTCATTTTACTGCTCAGCTCTGCAGCACCCAGAAAAAAAGAAAAAGAAAAAAAAAAGATGAGAAAAACCCAGGAGAGGAGAAGTCAACAGCAAAAACTCCAAATTCTTTAAAACCAATGGGAAAATTCTGCTTGCAGTGTGTGTGGGAGAGGATTTCACACCAGATATTCACTTATTTATCATGCCTCGCCTATTAATATCAGGTGAGGCACCATTCTGCTTCCCAGAACTGGTATTTAAACCAGCTTCTCAGAACATGCACGGACCACCCTCACCTGCACATCAAGAATGGTGGGTGACTTTGTGCATGTGCTCTATGTTATCACTCACTTAAAATTTCTACTGGAACCATTTCATAAGGCCTTAGAAGGTGTCACATTTCCTCCCAGGGTGCCTTTTCTGTCAAAGAGCCTATGTTCTGAAATCGGTACGGCAGGGATACGGTTTCACCTACCCTCGCCTGCCTTGCGGTGGTGGCGGTGGGCGTGCACGTGTGCCACCGAAACTGCTCGGTCAAGGGCAGGAGCCGAGAAGCAACGCAGAGCTGATCCAACCCCTCGACTCCCGTGCTCTCCTCAGTGGCCTGACCGTACCTGATGCTCCAGAGGTGGGCTACAAACCAGTCTGCTTATGCACAAACCGTGAGACTCGCAAGGGAGGATGGCAGTCCTCGCCTCCTTCCAAGGAGGAAATTGCATCCCCTGCGATAAGTTTTTATCTATGCACTGCAATATTGCAGGGAATTCTAAGGACCTCTCATGGCAACTAGGAGGCGAAAAACAATCATTAACCCCTCCTCCACCTCCCTCGAAGCCATTCAGCAGCAATTTAACCCGCAAACATACTGCATTACAATACAGATAAAACAATCTCTATCAGCCTTTACGCTATCTACCGGCTCCTGCCATTTGGGATATTCACGTATTTCCAGGCTTAAGGCTGCAGAGCCTGGCTGCGGACCCTCCCGTATCGGCTGCGGGGAATTTGTTTTTACAGGTCACTTTCATGGCATTTTTCCCCATCTGCTCCCTTTTCCCAGTCAGGCAGAAGCAGGGGCGCCGCCGAAGTTAGGATGCTCTAAGGCACCGCTAAACTTCCACCGCACGCTCCGGTGCGACACCGGTGCGGCCTCGGGAGGAAGCCGGCGCCCTACCCGCCCCGGCAGCGGCTCCCTTCTCCTCTGCCTCCCCTCCCCTCCGCTGCCCTGCCCGGCTCCGGGGAGGCGGCCGTGCAGGCTCTCGCCCGCTGCGGTGCGCCGGGAAGGGGGGAGCGTGGCCAGGTTGACCGCAGGCCCCGCGCCTCCCGCCGCCCCCGGCCGCTGCGGACCCGCCGCGGGGCACCGCACTGCCCCGCACCGCCCGCCGGATGCGGCCCGGCGAGCAGCGAACTTCAGAGCGCTCGCCGCATTACCCACCCGGCCGGCGGCGCCCGCCCGGGAGGGGCTGGGCGGGCTCCGCGGCGGCCGGTGCGGTGCCGGGCAGGCCTCGCCGGCCCGGGGCCGCACCGGGGGCGGGGGGGTCAGGCCCGGCCCCGCGGGGCCGCCGGGCGGGGGCTGGGCAGGTACGCGGCGGGGGCCGGGGGACAGCGGCGGCGGGCGGGTTCCCCCCGCCCGCGGCGGGGCCACGCTGCCGGGGGAGGCGCCGGGGGCGGCCCGGGGAGGGGAGGGGAGCGCAGGGTAGGGGGGGCTGCCCGGGCCGGGGCCGCTCGGCGGCGCGGCGCGGCCGCCAGAGGGCGCCGCCGACGGGCCGGCCCCGACCGGCACCCCGGGCCCGCCGCGGCCCCTCCGCCGGCACCGGCCTGGCCCCGCCGCGGCCCCCCCGCTCCCCCGCTGGCCCCGCGCTCCGCCGGCCTCGTGCCCGGCAGCGGCGAGGCTGGGCAGGGCCGGCTGCCCTGTCTGCGCTGCCGAAAACGCTCCCCTTTGTCTGGCCGCCTCCGGCGGGGTCCGAACTCCGCGCCTCGGGTGAGCTCGGGGCTGCCCAGAAATAACCCGGTGGGCCGCCGGTAACTTTACACCGCCCGCCGAACGCCCTCCGAGCGGGCGCCGCAGCCCAAGGCTCGATTTCCTCCTCAGATAAGTTTTACCGGCCTCGCCACGGGGACGAAAGTACTGTGTCCCCGTGCCGCCCCCCCGCCCGCTCCCCTCCGCGCCCGGCTCTCTGCCGCCACGGACCGAGCGGTCCCGGGCGGGATGGAGCGGCCGCCGGAGGATGTCCCTCCGGTTTATGTAACGCTCCCCGGGCAGCACCGAGCCGGGAGGGGTGACGGGGGAGGATAAATGCGTCGCGATGGGATTTAAATTAAACCCCGATACATCTTCGAATTTTTCTTTTTAAACAGACACCCTGGACTACGCACCGGTCTAACACACACCCCCATATACATATATACATATATACATATATACATATGTGTATATATATATATATATAATTTTATTTTTTTTTAACACGGAAAAAACTAAGTTGGGGCACTTGGGCTTCTCTCCGCAGCCCGGGCTGGGCTGAAGGAGAAGCCGGGGGAGCTGACAGGCGGCTGCCGGCAGCCCCGTCTCCCGCCGCCGCTGCCCGCGGGGTCCCCGCACCCCGGAGAAGCGGAGCCCCGGCGTGGGGAACTCCTGGGAAACCGGCGAACGGAGCGGGGTGGCCGGTCCTGGAAATGCGAACTGCGGCGAGGGGCAGGCAGGCAGCAGGCACACACACACACACACGGAGGCGCAGGGCAAGCTCTGTCCACCTCATTGTTCTGCTCGGCACCGGCACGGACTTCACCCACCGCCCCCCGCCGGGGACCGAGCGCCCGGGACCGCGGGGCCGGGGCGAGCAGAGCCGGAGGGCGACCCGCGCCTCGCCCTGCTCCCGCCGGGCGCCGGGAAGGGCGGGGGTGCCCCGCCGCCTCCCCACGACATCGCCGGGGCCGCGGGGAACCGCGGGCGGGCGGCCGGGGACCCCCTGCTTCCCCCCCCCTCCCCCGCCGCCACCGGGCGAGGGGTGCCGGCGGGGCGCGCCGGGCCGGGGCTTACCTTCGTACATGGGGGCCATCGGTGCAAGGACGCCTGTTATTCATGGCAACGCCGCCACGAACGACGCGAGATCGCAGCCCCCCAAACTCAACACACATCTGCCATCTTGAGCGGGTGTCTCTCGGCGGAGGCGAAGCTGCCGCCTGCCTTCTGCATCGCTGCCCACCTCAGCGCGGGGGGAGCCGGGCACATCCAGCCCCGCTGCCGGCCCTCCGACGCGGCCGGGGCGGGCGGGCGAGCGGGCGGGGGGCGGCGGCGCCGGGCCGGGCCGGGCCGGGCCGGGGCCGGGGCGAGGCGAGGCGCGGGGCCGGGCAGGGGCGGCGGGCGGCGGGGCCCCCCCGGCTCGGGACGGCGGCGCTGGGGAGGGAGGGAGGGAGAGAGGGAGGGAGGGAAGGAGAGAGGGAGGGAGGAAAGGAGAGGGAGGGAGGGAAGGAGGGGGGCTGGCGCGGTGCCCCCGCTCTCAGAGCGGCATGGCTGCGTGTGCCGGGGCGCCTGCAAAAGTTGCACTGGGGGTGAGAGAAAGGGAGAGAGAGACGGAGGGAGAGAGAGGGAGACGGAGACCGAGACGGAGAGGAGGAAAAAAAAAAGGAGAAAAAAAAAAAAGCAGCGAAGGGAGTTTGCAAATAATCAAGCGCCGATGGCACCGATCGCGGCTTCCCAGAAGGAGCGGGAGCGAGCGAGAGAAACCCTCTGCTGAGATTATGTGGGATCTTGTTTAACAACACATTTCAATCAGGAGAAAAAAGGAACAGTCAACAGAAGTTGGTGAAACTCTTCTGTCTTTCCCCCCCCCCCTCTTTATAGAAAAGAGAGGAAGGGGGAAAAAAATAAAAAGGCAGCTGATTGAAGCTTTGCAACTGACTGGCTGTGGGGATCATATAATTTGAGCTCATGTTTTACAATAGCATGGAAAATTCCTACCTCTCCCCCTCTCCCCAAATAAATCTTCTATTCCCTCAAGGCATTTCACAATCTGGTTCACTGACAAAAGTTCCAATTTATCTTTTTTTTTTTTTTTCGTTTAGCTTACTTGCAGTGTAAATATTTAGCGGATGCATTTAAAATAAACATACGTTGTTGCTTTTAGGATTCAGGTTGTGTTTTTGGTTGTTGTTTTGTGTTTTTTTTTTTAAAAAGGAACCACATCAAAGAAGTGTTTACTAAGTAAGATTGACAGCCTATTCTCTCCCTCCCCTCCCCCCCAGCTTTTTTTTTTTTATTTTAAATGATCCATCTCTCCGGTTGAGCTCGTGCTGTAGGATCACCAACCCGACCAACATCATTTTTGTCAGTGCATACAGGAAAGCAGTAGGTGAAGCTACGGGAGCCCCCATTGCCTGACAGGAGCTTTACAAAGGAAGGTCAGTCATCAGGTACCCATTACGAGGGCAAAGGAAGCTGAGACTCATGCAAAGCCTCTGGCAAAGGTGGAAACAAAACCTCGGGCTGTGATCCTGCATTAACTGCCGTCTGGATCTGTCTGCCTGGAGCTCCTTGCAGATGAGTAGTCTGGGACTGGACCAGTGAAGACATACTCTCTCTGTGCCTGCAGTTACTGGTGGTCCCCAAAAATGCTGCCTCTTGCTGCTGCTGGTGCCAGCTCAGACCTCTCCCACCGCAGTATTTGATCGCATCAGGGCTCAACGCCGGGCTACTCCCATTGATGTCTCAAGGAGGAGGCAAGAGGTAACTTTTACTTATGGATTTCACTGAGAGCCAAGTGCTCCTGCCAGCCTGGCCCCTCATCTCGGGGTGCTGCGGGTGCCTACGCTGGCAGATAAAAGCAGGCCAGGGAGCAATGCGTAGTGACCCAGCCGATGGAGCAGGATGGCCATGCTGCACTGTGGAGGATGTGATTCCCAGGCTCCTGTGGGCCCTCTTGTTAGCTAGGTATTTTCAGTGTTTTGCATGATTTTTCTCCCTCCACTGAAAAATGCCTGAAACTACAGGAGATCTGTCTCATGGCCCATTAGCATTCTGTTTACTGCATGAAGCTGAGGATACATGTTAAATGTGTCGAGGAGTGCCATGCAGGACTGGTGGAGGTGATTGAGGGCTCCAAGTAGGCTGGGATGGCACTGGAAGACTATGTACAGCAGAGGGAGCAAAACCTGCTCCTGTCTCATCCCTGCTTCATTTTGAGAGTGATCCCGAGACCAGCCACGGTCAAATCTTGGAAAGAAATGGTGCTGTCTCCAGCTGGACCACGGGGGAAGTCCAGGCCAGAGGTGGAGGGCAAGCGTGCAGATGGACATGGGCACAGTACTTGAACTTGCTTCTCGCCCCTCTTTTATTCAGCCATGGTAACCATCACAGTTCAGCTCTAGCCATGAGTAGAAAATCTAATATTTTCTTGAAACATGTTTCTGGTCATTGTAATTCTGTGCCGCTCTCTTCTTTATGATGGAGAACATGATCTGCTTTCCAAGGCTACTAACGCTTCTGAGCCCAGCCTGCCTCCTTGCCCTTGATCAGAGCAGCAGCCATGGAGCCCTGTCTCAGAGCCACGGAGGAGAAGTGTCGGAGAAAAGCAGAGAACAAAACCAGAGGAGCAGGCTGCTATAGGAGCCAGCTTCACTTCTTACCATTGCATTGTGCTGCAGCATGGCTCCAGGTTAGTCACATCATCCTTACTCTCCTCGGCTGCAGAATGGGGGCGGGGGTACCAGCCTCTGCTGTGTGAAACTGCACTGATAGGTTTTTTTTCCCTCTGTTTCTGAGCTATCCCATAGCCCTTAGGGTCTGCATTAACTCCATGTCCATCAAAGCTGGCATGACATAGGAACTTAAAACATAAACCAAACCCACTCCTCACCCCTTTTGCCAGAAGAAAAGAGGAAGGGGTCGACAAAGGAGTCTGCAGAACTCACTGTGTGTGGCCTGGAGATGAAAGTGGCGTCCCTGGCCCTGTGGCTGGTGAGTAGAGCACAAAGGGGGATGCAGGAGCAGCCAAACCTGCGTGTAACATAGGCAAATGCTAAAGCTGTTGGCTTCAAAGCACAGGTTATTCTGCTTCTTTTAGGGGAAAGGTGATGAACTTAATGGACTACTTGGCTGGTCTAGGACGACAATTCCTGATTGCCTCTCAAGTTCAGTATCGCCAAGGACATTACAGATTCTCATCTGCTGATAATGGATCCAAAGATAGGAAAACTAATAGGGATATTTTCACCAACAAGGACTGTTCAGATCATACACATTTTTAAATGTTGTTGCCAAATGAGGCCACAGCATATTTGGTAAACAAAAACCAGCCCCAACAGGTCCTGACCTCGGCCCAGACTGGCTGCGAAAACCTGGTGCGCAGAGGAAGCTGGCGGTTTGTGGGCACACAGAGGGAGCAAGGATTTGCCCTGCTAGGCACAGCCTTCCTTCCCAGCTCACACAGGGGCCTCTGCCTGAGAGTCTCCTTCAAAGAAGACTTAGGGCGTATGATTGGATCCAAGGTGCACAATCCCTTGCTGCACTTCCCCATTTCTGTGCACAGATGGGGATGCACTCTGGAGGCAGCCCAACTCTGAGCCTACAACCTTCTTTCCATTCTCTCCAAAACTGAGCATCCATGCAAGGATGTTACACCTTAGGCCCCTGAGCTAGAGACAAAACCGTGGTGTGGACATACCTGTCAGGAGCCAGTCGTCGGCAGCGCAGCTGCAACAGTCCTGGGACAAGGCTGTTCTGCTGGAGAGATCATGGTCCACTCTCTGCAGGCCTGAGACTGCAGGAGGTGTCACTAAAATTTTGAATCCTGAGAGACTTTCCCACCTCAACAGACTACTTCTTCTCTTTGGCCTCTTCACTCAGGAGAGGATGGCAAACCAGCACTGGAGAAGCATATATTAATGCCTCATCTTAAGATTTTTCATTTCTCCATTTGCATATTTGGGTCTCCTATAAACAGAGCCGCAGTCTGAGTGCAAGCACATGGCACACTCAGCCGTATCACAGAGTATCATGTACCACCAAAGTCACAGCATCCCCACCTATGTCCACAATGGCTATGGGGTGGTGATGGCAGATACTAAGCCAGGGAAAGGAGAGGTGGCCTTTTAACAGCACTGGGCAGGCACTCAAGGGGGCTCCATTTCTGCTCCCCATACACAAATCTTGGTGGTCTTAGCATTGAACTCACTTCTCCAGAAAGGCATATGGTGTTTGACTGGTGTCTCAGGGGACTGCTGGTAACAACCTCAGCCTATACTTAACTGCAGCGGGAGTAGAAGGGGTTACTGTTTTTTGCTGGAAATGTGAGAGTTTGGGCTTCTCTTTCTTTTCTCTTAGAAATTAATACAGATTTTGGAAGTCAAGATATAAGAAGGAAGGCAGGTGAGTTTTAAAACATTCATTGCCAGTTTAGGGGGGTTGTGTGAATGGACACAAGGTGCCCTTTGGTCTCTCAGAGCCAGAAACACCATGGTTTGCCAGAAGAGGCATCACCTCCTCTTCTCTGGTACCTCCACCAAGCCCTGGCTTTGCCAAGAGCATGCCAGGGGCATTTGCAGAGGTGCCTGCTGCTGAGATGCAATGTCTTCCTCTTTCCCTCAAAGAAAGCTGAGGGGGTTTGTGGCTCCAGCTTTCTTGGTTAATTGTCCACTGCATTTGTTTCTTTGGAAAGACTGAGCCTAAGAATGTGTTAATAAAAGACTGTAAGGTACATTAAGAAAACAACAACATAACAAACCAAAAAAACCCAAAGAAAAAACAGGAGAGAAAGGCTGTAATCACACAAGGTGAGCACATCTCCTTCAGTGACAACCTTTTATACCTGTTTGCCTTCATGGTGGAGCTGGAAGGCAGCATGTTGTTAGTAAGGATCAGGTCCCAAATATTTCACGTTAAGCAAAGGAAAATATTTTCTTAAAACACCAGGGGAAGGTTTCCCAGTGAAATACACACAGATGTTTTCTTTTTAAATGTAAATCAGTGAGGGAATGGACAGTTTAATTAAAAGTAAAATTATTAGGTAAGTGCTCAGGGAATCTACTTTATTTGCTGAGTACACTCACATATTTTTACTGGTGAGTCAATTGCAATTTTTAATTTCTTTCCACTTAAGAAGACCAGCTCAGAGACTAGCCACTGTGATGTGGAATATTTGGGGGAGGATTTTTCCATGGATAGCAGGAGTGTCTGTCCTGTGTACAAGTTGTGGATGCCCAGGCAGTTTGCTATGGTATGTCCATTCCCAGCCTTACATCACTGCTAATCACAGTA